TTACGTACATCCGTGGACGCAGTAGCATGGATACCTTGCAAGAGAATATCAAATCAACACTGATGAAGAACATGGTCGATTGTAAGGAGCAGAAAATTGTCCAATGTGCATGTTCCTTAGCCGTGTACTTTTTTAGGTTCTCATTACGCGATTGGCTATTCTCCAGAACAGGAAACGGAAACGCCAGAATATGAAACGTACTCGACAACTAGACCCACAACTTACACATATTATCCAGTTCAAACAACAACCACGACAACGGTTAGCGACGCTTGTTTTTTAGCAGGGTATAATCTCTAAGCACGGTGTTGATTCTGAGCCTTAAATAATATGACTTTCACTTCATATGCAGCGGTATCTAATCATGTTAGATTGCAGAAATGCAGGAACAGCGGTCCTTTCACTTTGTCACTATAAATTGGATTGTTCATACCCTCAGCCCTACAAAGAGATAATGAGCCTTGAAAATGAATGAATGTAATTTGGGACCTTTGCCATTAGTTTATCCCTCTTCAGGTTGAATCTGAGACAAAAATGACTGTGTGGGATATCGATTATATCCTCCCAGCTAGTGCAAATCTGATGAAAATGTTGAATATCCGATGAAGACAATTGAAGATGTTGCGATTAGCGTTCGTGACGCAGTGGTTGACGTTTCTTCGATCTTGAAACCACAGTTGAAACCTTGAAACGTTCATCGCATAGGTTATACATAGGTGTCAACCTATCAGCCCTGATGTATCCTTTCGTTCACAGGTAAATGATCATATGGAAAATTCTACTGCAACAGTGTCGATAGTTTCGACAGCGGTTTATTAAAATATTTGATCTTGATGCTTTCTAGAATGTACCTTAGCAGTTGTTTCAAAATTTTCTCCTACCTCGTCTATAGATTTCATGTTTGAGGCTCGTAACAATTTTGAAGCTACCAAAGTGTGAGGAGAAATGTACTCAATTGCAGACCAACTTAAAATACAGTCTTCTACTTCTACAATTACTTGTTTACCATGATGAAGACGCTTATTTCGGCCTGAAAAAGCAGACATGCTAAGATTTCCTTGATTATTTTCTGCTAAGACAGGTAATGATTATTGCTGAAATGCATATTGCATATATGGATAAGAATAAAAGCACGCTAGTGCATCCAACATTGTCGAGAAAGTTCGAGAAATGACGATTGTTGTTTACAGCAAAGGGCAACTGCGGCTACTAGAGTTCATCGACCGTACAAAACCTACAGCACCGGACATACGAGACAGATCTACCATCAGACGTACGCCGCCACATACACAACGCCTGCCAGGGTCACCACCGCCACTACGTCAGCAGCGGCTAGGAAAACAACGGTGAATGCCAAGATCGATAAAGGTGAGTCCAGCTTATCAACCTCGATTCGTACCGTCCAAAGTATGAGTCCATCGCTTAGACTGCCAGCTGAGTTTCCTGCTGATCGTGGATTCTGCAGAAAACGAAACGGTCGCGGAACCGTACCACATCTACGCCCTGCAGATCCTGAGGAAGATCAGCGAGCTCTCCGACGAGGTGCTGATCACGTTCGTGGATTTGGCCGATCCGGCTAAAGCCTATATAAACTTTCCGGTGCCGGTGTACCGATTCAAGCGCGAAGCGAACAAGCTTCGAAACGTGTCAGTGAATCTGCACCACCTGTTCTTCACCGTCGACGATTATACGGAAATCATCCCGAACAACCGGCTGAAAAGCATCGCCGTCGTCATCGTGCTGACCAAGGCGTTGTTCAGCATCGAGGCTGCCGCCTTGAACGGCGAAAACCTCAGAAGCCATGGCGCCGTCGTGTACGCGATCAGTCTTGAGGAGGTGACGATCGAAAACACCGACAAACTCAGCAGCTTGACCGGTAGTCCGTTGCGAGTGTTTACACAAGAAGTCATTTCTGACTTATACGACAGTCTGAAGGACCTGTCGGTGACCTGCTACACGGCCGACTTAGACACATAATAGAAAGAAATACGTGTCCATTATGTTTTGTTTACGTTTGTATTTGCATCGACCATTGTACCGTACTGTATGATGGATTCCCCGGGTTGCATCCTTAATGAACAACTTTGTCATGATCTATTCAAACGCATGTGACGAGACTCACCGTATGGCTGGCTTCGATTAAGGAAGCTTGAAATAACGCAATTCCTAGGTTCATCATGCCAACGCGATGGTTATACCCCGTCGATGGTACGCAAGGAGCCAGGAAACGGCCAGATATCGACCCTCGTCGGATGTTTGTTGATGACAAGGATAGACACAAGCATTAATACTGTGGCAGATTGTTGCTTGTATGCTAAGAATATAAATCTGTATATGAAAATGTGTGCAACTCTATAGTCTGTTATTCGTTTTACTCTATAATCTGACGTTCTTTTCATGGTATTCCAATATGACAGGCGTTTTACCTTACATACAACTGCGGCAGCAATTTTTCGGACTTCCGGAATATCTGCAATGTCTGCCGTTATATCTCGAGTACAATGCGCAGCATCCCATCTTATCTTTTTTCTTCACTCAAAGTGGTACTCTTTTATCTACCTCAGAAGGATGAATGATGAAGGATGTGTCGCCAAGCTGGGACCTAAACTCACCTCCACTGTGAGTTCTACGCTCCATCAGCAAAACAAGCTCGGTGAAGATTAATTAACTCAAAGAAAACATGTTATCTTGATTTGCACTAAACTGGCGAATCGATTTCCGTTTAGCACACACCTTATGGGACAACCACCTACTTATAATAACATTCAAAATCAACAAATCCTCAGTCAGTAGTAAGCACTATTATACATAGTGGTTACGTAATGCTGAAGCGATGCTGAATGATCATCGTCGTCTATGTCCTAACAGTTGTGCCAGGTGAAAGCGAAATAGGCGCTTTCTCTCACTGTCTGTAGTCATTGTCACGCCTTGACACGTCATGACGTCACATGTGTCACAGGCGACCTTAGGTAGAGGTGGGCATCGACTGCCCTCGCGGAATTTATACCCTGAATGACAGCGGTGCCTGTTTCGTAAGTATTTAGATAATAAACAGTTGATCATTGATGGGATACTATTCCCTCATAAGCGAATTCACCGAACTACTTGACCGTACCCTGACGAAAGTCTAAGGCCTCAACTAGAGGGCGTCCTCGTAGCCGCAAATGGTGCGACTCGTTATTCGAGACTCGCTTCAGGTTCAGTGTAGTGTATCATTCGCTGATCACCATGAAAATGGTAGTGGAACCACAGCTAAAGCGATCCGTGTCACATTGAAACACACTTGCTTTTTGAAGATGACAGGCTAAAATTGGCCGAAGTGGTGCGGTCGGCCAAAAAACGAGATAACTATTATAGAGCACTCTTCGTACCCAGTTGAGAAGTGGCAACGTCGACTAGGCCTTCAAGGAATGTGTATTATTCAGTATAATATTTAACTGAAGTCAGGCTTAGGCGGAAATCTCCTCTGGCTTAGGTGAACACCTATCCTTTAGAGAGAAAGAGATCAGACTAAGAAGAAGTATATAGAACAGCCCATTGCAGCGTCGAAAGCAGCCCGTTATCA